GGGTCATCTGGCAGTCTCCGGCAACCTAAATTAGGACCCGGAGACTGCCAGATGACCCCGCTCGGAGCGCCGCACACCGAGCAGCAGTGACGCTCGGCGAGGTAAGTAAGATGACGCGCTGGCACTGACTCGAGTATAAGCCGAGGGGGGCACTTTTCACCCAAACAAATGGGCTGAAAATCTCGGCTTATACTCGAGTATATACAGTTAATTTTCCTTAAGCCATTTTCTCGTCTGCATTAGTAGCTCGATATTATACTGCCATCCTGTGGGCATTTTGGGTATTGCACCATGTTTTCTGTGTCCTCTCCCATTTATGATGCATTTCCCCCTTCTTGAGTTGGCTGACTGTAACATGGGCACATATTAATCTGCTTGCATGCTTGGAAACATTACCATCTCTGACCTTCAAGTACCATCTGTTCATTCATCTGCTGTATCCTGTTGTCTGCTGTAACCCTGCTGCATGCAATAAAGCTCTTTTGTTGATGAAAAGGTATTTGGTGAGTTCAGCTATCTGATAAGGATTGTCCGCAGTGATTTATATCTGCTTATACAGGCCAGGCATAGAGGTCTCAGCAAGGGGTAAATCGCTAATGCAACAATCGGAGTCAGAATAGTAGTAAATGATATGCATAAGAGGTCGTGGAGACTATATTTCTTTTGGTATGTATTTAAGTACATACCAAAAGAAAGATACCATGGTATGTAAGTGGTAGAACTTAATTTTCTTTTTCTCAGTTTCACATTTTTTTTTGCCTGAAATTAGTGAGGTGGATATATTAAAGATTTAACTGTTGTTGAGTAGCTAGATTCCTCCCACATTGTTGTATTTTGTCTCATTGTGTTGCGTCCTAATTGTAGCTCCCAACAGTTACATTTACTGTTTCTTGGGTTGGAAATTTCATGGTGGTTCTATGACATGCACTTCTAATATTAGATTGTTAACTTGATTTCTGTAAACAGGTTTTGGACGAAGCTGACAGAATGTTAGATATGGGGTTTGAACCGCAGATAATGAAAATTCTGATTGACATTCGACCTGACAGACAAACTGTAATGACAAGGTAAATTGTTTGTAGATACCCATTGCAGTTTTGCATCACTGGGTGTGTGCCATGGAGTTTATGCTTGTAGTACTATATTAAATGTTTATGCGTATAGTACTGTGTTTAATGCTTACGCTAGCATGTGTTATGGGGATGGGTTATCACAAAGGGGTGGTTTCGTTGGGAATTCTTGATCACATTGGTACTGAGAAGAGAAGGTATAGTGACTCCTCTTTCCCAGGTATAGTGACACCTGAACAATGTCTGCATCCAATCAGATTGTTTAGGTATTTTGACAGCCAGCGGGGCCGACTAGCAAGATACTGAAGCTGGGTCCAGTGGGAGGTTCCTTCATCCACACAGTTTCGCGTAGATTGAGGAATCTGTAGCACTCTTCATCTGACCATAGAAAATCTGCAGATAATCTTTAGGTGTATGGCCAGCTTTAGTCTCCTATGGGTAAGCCGGCGCCCTTGGTCCCTAAGAGTAGTGCCTTTCCTCCCTCCCACACCACTTCCACCCAGTTCAGAGGCAAGTTCTGGACTCCTAGGCAAGCCAAGGCTACTGCTTGCTAGCAGTAGATATATGCAAAAAAAAAACCCAAAAAAGTACTTTAATACTGTTTTGCAACAAAACTGAGGCATGCTGTTAGTGGGAAGGGTTATCCCAGACTAGCCTGCAGTTTTTTTGTTTGCCAGTGTCTTATCCTCCTTTAGACTGCAGTATAACCCTAAGGTTTAAGGCTTTCTGTGTCCTTCATTAGACTTCAAGAAAATTATTTTAATGAGAATTGCTGCACATAGATTTTTAGCATGTTTTGATCTGTTCATAATGGAAAGGAAAAGGGTTGCATTTTCAGTTAGTGCTGCCTCAATTCATTATTGTAACATTTATTTGAAAATTATGTATTTTTCACATTTACAAGCTTGATATTAATACATTATATAATATTTTACAATTTTATTTAGAGCTGCAGCTAACGATTATTTTCAAAATCGATTAGTTAGCCGATTTATTAAGTTCGATTTAATCGGATAAAAAGTAATATACATTTTAAAAAATGGCTCCAGTGATGGGGCTACTAGTTTGTATTGAGATTGTAGTCCATCACAGGAGCAAGCTTGGAGCGGTGGAAGTGAAAAATAAAAAAGTGTGGTGTGCAATATAGTGAAATGGAAAGTGTAAAATTATACAGAAATGAATGCAGAATGGCACCGGCTATAGGAGGAATACAACAAATCCCGGCAATACTACATTATAGCTGGTGGTATTCTGCATTGCGCTGTACTATTGCTGGGTTTTGTAGTCCTCCTATAGCTGGTGGTATTTGGCATTGCACCAGTGTATAATGTATTATTGCTGGGATTTGTTGTACTCCTCTATAGCTGGTGGTATTCTGCATTGCACTGTATAATGTATTATTGCTGGGATTTGTAGTCCTCTATACAGCGCAATGCAGAATACCACCAGCTATAGAGGAGTACAACAAATCCCAGCAATACATTATACACTGTATGTATAATGTATTGCTGGGATTTGTATTCCTCTGTATAATATACAGCACAATCTACCATCAGTTATTTAGGAATACAAATCCTAGCAATACATTATAGAGCACCATGTGTGGGGAAAGTGCAGGCTTACCTGAGCAGTCTTCCAGCAACTTGTTTCTGAGATCGGGCCTGTCTATCGGCTGCTGTCATTCCCCCACACCTGCTCCTCCTTCTCCCCGCGTCCCTGTGCCAATCCAGGATGTGGGCGGGCGGTGATCGTGAGGCGGTGCGGCGTGTGGATCGTGAATGCGGGTGGGCAGGCCTGTCAGCGGCGAGCGCGAGGTGGGGAGGAAGTGTGGCGCGCAGCGTGTGTGGAGCCGTGAACAGTGCCAACCAATCAGAAGCCGATTAATCGATTATTGAAAAAGTTGACAACTTTTTCAATCGATTATGTCGATTAGTTGTTGCAGCCCTAATTTTATTTCACACAAAGGATAACGAGTAGCTTATCAATGCTGGAGATGTGTACATTTGAGTGACAATTCATTAAACCTGGCTACATGTTAGTCTTTTTGTTCAGACTCTGCACCATTCCCTTAGATTTACTAACATCTATGGAGTGTTATTGCCCACCTATACCAATCGGCCATAACATTATGATCACTAACGGGTGAAGCGAATAACATTGATGTGTTGAAAGCTGAAAAAATTGACACGCGTAAGGATTTGAGCGACTGACTAAGGGAAAATTGAGATGGCTAGACGACTGGGTCAGAGCAACACCAAAACTGCAGCTCTTGTGGGATGTTCCCAGTCTGCAGTAGTCAGGACCTACCGAAAGTGGTCCAAGGATGGAAAACTGTGAACCAACGACCGCACCATGGGCGGTCAAGGCTCATTGATGCATCATTTTTTGTAACTCTACAATAAAATAAAATTACTGTACAATTGGGTTCTAATGTGTGGCCAGCCTAATAAATGTTTAAATACATTTCCTAGCCACCAATATGATCCTAAATAAAACCCGTGTCTAGCAATCAATTAAAAATCAGATATTTCCTAGATACTTATCTATTTGTGCACGGTACATATTTGTGCACAGTACCTTGAGTTGACTGGCTGCAATCAATCTAAGCTGAGAAGATTTCAGAGAGAGGCATAGTGAAACAGTCACTGTGCAGCACTATAAAGCAATACTACACCGTTTGCACTTATAATTTACAGAAATGGCTGCCTACATGTACATTTTTTAGACTTCGGATCCCTTTTACATATGTTACTCAGCATTGTATTTTAATTTCTTTCTTTAGCGCCACCTGGCCAGATGGTGTTCGTCGTTTATCCAGAACTTACTTGAAAGATCCGTTAATGGTGTATGTTGGAACACTCGATTTGGCTGTAAGTTATTTCCTTCAGTGGCAGCCTTAAAGTAGAATTATGACATAATGCCAAATAAACATACTCTTTACGTTTAATGTGGTAGCAGCAACATTCCAGATTTGCAGCACAACCGAGATATCCTCTTCCCAAAACTCAGAAAACTGCAACCTGCGGCCCCATTCCTAATTACAGGGAGGAGAGACCAGTGGGCAGGAGCCCAACAATATTGTCGGGATCTCAACAATATTGAGCGGGGCTAAGTGTGCGGCCCCGCTGAGCATCTAATATAAATAACAGGCTTGGCATGTGTTTTAGATCATAGGAGTAAATTACAATATGTACTCCCTTTATCCTAAGCAATCCAAAAGTGCAGAAAAACTGGACTCCATAGTTCTCTTTTATTACTAAATCTCATAATTTAGAAGTAGACGTGTTATGGAAAGAAAGTATCATTGTCCTTTTAGAATACATGTTGTGGAAAGAAAGTATCAATTTCCTCTTTTGGCACAGAATACCGTCACATATAGGATTCATCATTAATATAATTTTGTAAATGAAAATGGTTAATACCGTGTATAAAAATTGCCATTCGTTTTAAGCCTATTTTGCTTAAAATGTATGGTAAGAATCGGTATGTTCTGCACTACATTTGTAAAAAAATTATTTATGTTGAACGTTATTCTCCTGCCAGGCTCTTGATCCTCTAGCCAGGGTATATGAAGTGTATGATCTAAGTAATGTCACAGAATAAGTGTAAACCTTCGACACCTTAGATTTTACTGCTTATTTGTGTCAGGAAAAGCAACTGCAGTAAAAACCAGAAGAATATATGCAGTGAGTGGAAATCCCTTTGAATTAGCTCGTTTAGTACTTGTAGCTGTTTCATGTGTTTTTGGGTAGCGTGAAGCATGGTTTGAGCAGTTGGCAATAGAATAGGGCACTCCGACATTTGTACAGACTTGCCCCGTGTTAGGGGCATGGCTACATGTTGACAGAGATTAGACTTGCTACATACATACCATTGCTCTCAATCATGCTGCTGTTTGGCTTGAAGTTATTCCACCACTTCTTCAGGGGAGATACCGAAACATTTACATTGTTTCAAACAACTTTATTTACCAGTAGAGTTCACAGGATAACATCAGTGCAACAGCTCTGTCCTTTTTTTTTTTTTCCATCACCACTGATGGCACTGCTGTAACAAGCTGACGTAGCCCTCTTTGTGGTTTCTCTGGGGAAATACAGTATACACTTCAGAGAGAAGAACCCAGGAGGTTTGTCCCACCTTACAATAGAATTCTGGCTGCCACAACCTTTATCTGGGTCATAGACCGACATAGAAAAAAGAGGAAAACTTTTATTTTATTTTCATGCAGAACTATTTAATACTGTATGTGCCTGCTAAATCTCTTGTTATGGGTGCTCTTTACTTTGAGTTTCTCACATTTAATATTACAGGCTGTTAATACTGTAGATCAGAGAGTTTTGGTGATTCCAGAAGAGGAGAAAAGAGCTTTTACTCTTCATTTCATTGACTCCCTAAAACCTGCAGACAAAGTGTTAATATTTGTTGGAAAAAAATTGATGTAAGTATGGCAACAGTGTATAAGCATATACAGTATGTATGGTGCTGTGCTACATGAAGGCATGCCATAGTGATAGATCATTATATTAAAGCTCATCTTCACCTTTTACTTAAAATGACCTTAAACCCTCAGATTTTTTAACATAAACCAATACTGTAATGTGTGCCTTACTGTAATCCATGGTTGTTTCCCTTCTCTTTGCTGCTCTTTCTTTTAAATCCTCATGTCTTCTCGTGCTAGGGGAGAACTTCCCTTTGCAGCTGACTGCCTCTTCCTGTAGTGCTGGCTCAGGTTGTGAACCTACACACAGACACCATGTATCCATTTTAGAGTCCAGGTAGTCTGCTGCAAAACAGAAGTTCTGCCCAGCATTAGAAGAGATACAGATTTAAAAGGAAGAGCAGCAAAGAGAAGGGAAACTACCATGGATTACAGTAAGGCACACATTACAGTATTGGTTTGTTACAAAATCTGAGGTTTTAATGTCACTTTAAGTGATTTAAATAAGTAGCGCGTAATTTTTTTTTGGGCAGCGCTGGCTGCAATATTCCTCTCCACTGCTGTCCCCATTAGTCCTATTTCTGGTTGAATGATGCCCAGTGTCTCCCAACCCACTTTGATAAAAGACCATCATGGACACACCCGCTGGGGGGTACATAATCATTCTGGCAAGGGTTGGACAGTGCATAATTCACATGTCATTGGGCGTGGGAACCTTTACAGCCCATGTTTGTGCCTGTCAATAAATTTTGACTTTTGGCCTTTTTAAATGCATGTTATCTTGGAGGATGGGGGCAACAAAATCTGTGTCCAGAGTGCAGATATACTCTATTATAGCCTTGCTATTTGCTAGGCAGTGGTCCTCTAGAACATTAAAGGAGTATTATAGGGAGAGTGAAATACTGATGCCTAAAATTAAAGCTGACGTGTAACACTGCAGCTGTCACATCTCGGCTCTTTAGATCGAGAACTGAGCTATCTCATACTGCTGATAGCTCAGTTCCTGATCTTCTCCACGCAGAGTGGTGACTGTCAGTCATTGCTCCCCACAGGGATTCCCCCCCTCCCCTCTCTGTTCCTCCACTGCCGACTGGAGGGACGGACGGGGGGAGAGGTGGGCAGAGCTGGCATTCCTCCTGAGAGGCAGAGCCAGCTGTCAGACAGTGGGGTGGATCTGGACAATACTGTTGGGATCCTTCTCGGGTGCTGCGTGGCACTGCGCTGTCAGCATATAGGGGGCATTAGCCTCCTATATGCAGAGTTTTGGCTCACAGGAGGACATGAGTAAATGTCCTCCTGTGACCCTGCAGAGAACTATAGCCAAAAAAGGTTTGCCCATAGTTCTCTCAACTTCTTTCCTTACTGTATATGTTAAATGTAGCACAAATAGTATGATGAATGACTTTTATAAAAAAAAAATGTATAAGGAATTACATAAGAAACTGTACAATGAATTACTTCTATAAAAATGTACCTTTTTTTTTTTTTTTTTTTTTTTTTTTTTTTTTCTTTTTTAAAAAAATTTTTTTTTTTTTTTAATTTTTTA